GATGCGAAGGCGAATCTGTTTTGCCTTGTGAATTGCTGTGGTGGGCTTGTCTCCTCGTTGTCTGATCCTGAAGAACTCATGACTGAACGAGAAAGTGAGAATCAATGATGGGCAAAGTAACAAATAACAATCAACTGAAAGCATCTGTCGTCATTTGGCGTCGTAATTGAGTATTATAGAAAAGAAGCCGGCAGTTAGTTAGTAATTTCATTGGTGGGTAAAAGTCTTACATTTTAATCAGCTGCCAGGGAGTTAGAGCGATCGGGTCATCGAAAACAATGGCGGTGTTCACACTAGAGGATGAGAAACCGTCTCGATGGGTAACCCGTCTGACGAGTTTGCCAAATTCGTTTGAACGCATTACGCAGAGGCGGCTTGGCCTAGAGGCTAGAGAAAATATACGATGGAAATATACCGCAAAATATTTTGAAAACTACGAATTATTCCCAAGCCGAATCGCTATTAAAGTTGATTTACGAATGATTACGGCTACCATCACACGCCGTTGTTGCCATCGTTGTGATCGCTACAAAAAAAAGTAAATTTAGCGTTCCTTACGACTACCGTCCCAACCTCGTTCCCAGGGTCTCTCATCTTACCGCCCACTAGAACAAGAGGGCGGTAAGATGAGAGACCCTGGGAACGAGGTTGCTACCGTCGGAGTTTCTATATAATCGCTAGTTGACCATATTCGTATCCTCGGTATTGGACTGGGACTAGCTTGCAATGGAGGCTCATGCGGGGAATATCATTAAAAAGAGGTTAATGTCATTAGCCTCCATTGCAAGCTAGTTGCAGTCCAATATATGGCTTATCAACGCTGTTGTCGCTGCAATTGTAGGAAACCATATGTGCTTGCTATTTAGCCAAAAAAAATCCGAAAATTTTGGTTGAAAGTCAAATGGAGCAGTATTTTTTTTTTCTAAAATCCGTTCGGAAATTGTAGGATTCCTTCAAAAGTAGACGTGTTTCTGTTTTCACTTTTGTTTACGCGAAATTTCCTCATCGTTTGCCAAATTTTCCAGTTTCCATGCTTTCGTCATGCAGTCAAAAACAATTACAAAGTTTTTTATCCAAAAGTTGTCGGCTTCGAAAATGATTAAATTTTCGCAATGAGCATAATTTCTTTTAGTACTTCCTCGGAATTTCGATTGACCGTTTTTTCTGTAAAAAAATATATCTAACATTTGAACTGAGTATTATTTGCCTTTGGGTGCATATTGTGTTTTAAGTAATATATCAAAAACGAAAGACAGTGTTTCATCGGGATATCCAAACACCGAGAAGAGAGTTGAAAATACGACGCGCAGCGGAATTCGAGGTTTTTGGATAGCCGATGAAAAACTATCTCGAGTGTTTGATATCTCTTCTCGATCGAAACAAAAACTAAGGAGTAAACGGAGAAGTAAAATCATCAAAATCTATGCTAACTAAGACCGGGTATCCAAACCTCCCTCACGGTTGTGATTTTCTTTGTTTTAACTTGATGAATTATTAATGAGTTCTTTGAACTGCGAGCTGGCTTGTGTAAGAAGTGAAATTGAAAGACAGTAGAAAGTTAGTGAATACAGAACGGAGATTTCATTTCTTGTCGTTTTAGCCAAAAAGTATACATTTCAAATGTTCTCGAGCGATTGTCCGAGAATTTCATCTAAATTTACGTTTACCGGATAGGGTACGAAAAACCTCCTTGCTGACCTAGCTTTTTTTCATATGTACATGTGGGAGGCGCGGTGGCCTCATGGTTAGTGCGCTCGTCTCTGGATCGAGCGGTCCGGGTTCGAACCCTAGCCGGGGACATTGTGTTGTGTTCAAAATTCATACCCCGCAACCCCAGCGGCCCAAAGTCCGTCAGGCGGAGCACCATACTCATAGGAACCCATGAATTGCTTTTCTCGTGGTGATCATGACTTGTAGTATTGCTCGTGGGCGCATACGCACGAACTCCAGCTAAATATAAGTTGACCGAGACATGCAGCCTTGGTTCACAGCGCTCACCTTTGATATTAGACATCCATGTTATGATCAATTGATGCCTGTCAAAACTAGGTATCCGCTGACCATTATCGCGTGGCCAAATCGCNGATAGCCGATGAAAAACTATCTCGAGTGTTTGATATCTCTTCTCGATCGAAACAAAAACTAAGGAGTAAATGGAGAAGTAAAATCGTCAAAATCTATGCCAATTAAGACCGGGTATCCAAACCTCCCTCACGGTTGTGATTTTCTTTGTTTTAACTTGATGAATTATTAATGAGTTCTTTGAACTGCGAGCTGGCTTGTGCAAGAAGTGAAATCGAAAGACAGCAGAAAGTTAGTGAATACAGAATGGAGATTTCATTTCTTGTCGTTTTAGCCAGAAAGTTTACATTTAAAATATTCTCGAGCGATTGTCCGAAAATTTTATCTAAATTTACGTTTAACGGATAGGGTACGAAAAACCTCCTTGCTGACTTTATAAAAGCTTTCTTTCATATGTACATGTGGGAGGCGCGGTGGCCTCATAGTTAGTGCGCTCGTCTCTGGATCGAGCGGTCTGGGTTCGAACCCTAGCCGGGGACATTGTGTTGTGTTCAAAATTCATACCCCGCAACCCCAGCGGCCCAAA